CCCATGATTTAATATTCTTTATTTAAACCTCTCATTTAAGTTTATATTTTTAGCCATAGAAACACAGCAAATATTTTTGTTCTAGAATTTTTGATGTGTTTGCGTATATTGTCCTGTTAATGACCCACTATGGGTCATGCTTATCTTTCAAAAAACACAGCCTTATATTTGAGTCCAGAATATTTGGGTAAACCCAGAAGACCGTTGGTAACCCGATAACGACAAGGGACTCATGTCCCATGGCAGTAAAAAAGTCCCCAAATCATCTGTCCTCCACCACCATGCTTCACAGGTTGGTTACGAGGTGTTATGTTTGCTTATATGCTATTTGGCTTTCTCCAGATGTAGCTCTCTGTTTTTAGGCAAGGCAAGGCAAGGCAAATTTATTTGCATAGCACAATTAAGTGCAAAGACAATGCAAAGTGCTTTACATGATTAAAATACAGGAAGATAAAACAGAATCAAAGCAAGTAGGAAAAAAAAATAAAATAAAAAATGCAGAAACAAAAAAAGAATATTAAAAACAGTTGGATTAAAGAAAATATGTTTCAGTTGAACTGTTTAACTAGAACAGTCGAAGGCAATCCTAAACAAATGTGTTTTTAGTCTTGATTTAAAGGAACTCAGGCTTTCCACACTCTTACAGTTTTCTGGAAGTTTGTTCCAGATAAGTGGAGCATAGGAACTAAATGCTGCTTCTCCATGTTTAGTTCTGGTTCTAGGTATGCAGAGCAGGCTGGAGCCAGAAGACCTGAGTGGTCTGGAGGGTTGATACACTGATAGCAAGTCTGTGATGTATTTAAGTGCTAAGCCATTCAGAGATTTATAAACTAACAGAAGTATTTTTAAGTCTATTCTCTGAGATACAGGGAGCCAGTGTAAGGACTTTAGAACTGGGGTGATGTGCTAAATATATACTTTCAATTCATATCAGTTTATTTATATAGCACCAATTCATAACACATAGCCTGTGTAGTCGGAGATGCAGCTTTTTGGTTTGTAATTTCTCTGAACCTTGTAAGGAATGGTCATCAGGTACTTTCGCTGACATGTGCATTCCTTGGGAGATCTTAAATGTTTTCCAATCTTAAAAAATATATTTTGCATGGCAGAATTATGGGTTTCAAATACTATGGAGGGAATAATCTAACCCTTTACATAATGGGCAGCAGCTGAGTCTCTTCAAGGCCAATGTTATTGTCCCCCACATTTTGTTATACTTAAGGGAAATTAGGATATTCATTTGAATGTTTTTTACACATTTATAAATATAAGTAGCTCGATGAGCCCATTAACTTTTCCATGTAGGCAAATGGGTTCATCCCACCTGAACTGTGGATTTCAGCAGCTCCCTCAAAGTAACTGTTTGTCTCTTTGCTGTTTCTATATTTCAAACTGTCATTGCCTGGCTTCTCTGTTAAGGGAGATAATAATATTATTGTGTAGATTTGCTGTTTCTTTCCTTCTTTCTTCTTTTTCAGATGATGGACTGGCCATTATCATTTTGTCTGTTTGTATCTGGAAGTCCCACAGGATCTTCCTCTTTCATTCTCCACCACTTTGGGAGGCGGTTCCTGTATCAGCCACTGGGTTATGAAGTTCCATGTATTATTTTCCTGAATCCAATCAATTTTGGTTAATTATTTATCCTCTTCGGGTATTTCATTTTATTTTACAAATACTTCACAAGGAAAAAGTGAATTTAAATTGAAACTCTGTAAATTAACTGTTTAAAATGAGTAAACTTCTGAAATTGAATTGGAAAAGGTTTCATGGGATGAGGTTTTCTAATCATATATTGATTATAAATATTGAATATAAGATGGCTAACGAGACATTTATCAATATTTTTATGTCTTTATGTGATCATTGTTTTCCCTTTAAACAGAAGTAAAATAAAGAAATAGAATGTTTTTATGGCTTATATCAGCTATAACCATTTTCTATTACCAAATACAAGCTTTATAAAATCTCTTACCAGTCCTAATCATTTGATATTTAATTTTATAAAAGATATATAAATCAGAAAAATTTCACTCCTCCAAAGGTGTACCTTTTAAGTTATCAGATGGTATCAGAAACAATCCTTCTTGTAGCAAATGTTTTGAGGATGTTTTTTGTTCATATTTGCGCCTCGTTAGCTAGAAAGTTTGTATTGTAAGAACAAATCCATTTCAATAAATCATAACCATGAGTAATCGTGTTTAGGTGAGTTTGACCCTCCAACTTCAAAGTACTTCAAATACTTCTGAAAATGAAGGTTGTTGCTTCAGACCATAATGATATACAAGCCAGTAAGGAGAAGTAGCCTCCTCTATTACTGAGTCCCTTAAATTTGCACTCTCTCTGTCTCTTAAAACAGGTATTTTGTCAAGGGAATCAAAAGTATGTCCACTACCACTTTTGTTCAAATCTGGAGATGCCAGTTTAATAACTATCAGCCAGTTACATGTGGCTTTTTATTGTGGGCAGTCTAAGGCACACCTACCTGTGCACTAATAATGGTGTCTAATCAGCATCTTGATATGGCACACCTGTAAGGTGTGATGCATTATCTTGGCAAAGGAGAAGTGCTTACTTTCACATATTTAGATTGGTTTGTGAACAATATCTGAGGGAAATTGTTATTTTTTTGCATGTGGAAAAAGTTTTAGATCTTTGAGTTCATCTCATAAAAATTGGAGCAAAACCAAAAGTGTTGTGTTTATATTTTTGTTGAGCATATGAACATGTATTTGTTGGTTTTCCTGCAGTTTTTCATAGGTTCTTTACAAATTCTTCTGATATACACACTTATGGGAGTGGCTTGTGCTCTGAGAAGGTTGCAAGTACCCGGTTCGATCCCCAGAGCCCGCACTCTGGGTCCCTGGGAAAATCCCTTAACCACACACCTCTCCCAACGCACCACACAATGGCAGCTCACTGCTCTCCAAGCGGATAAATAAGGGGTTGAATAAAAGGATTTACATTATTCAACAAGATAGTCTAGGGACTTTATTCAGTATTATGTAGAACATAAGTTAAGCAAAGAACACTTAAATATAGAGGGTCTTCTATTGGCAGAACACTACCAGAATCCAAAACTATAATTCATTATTTGACAAACAGCTAAAAGTTATGCTGATTACAAATAGTACATGATGTGTATATTTGATATACTGACTTATAGGTGGGGTAATTTTGGTCTTCTTAAACTTTGCTGCAAAATTGTTTTTAACTCTATATTACTAGTGTTATTATCTTTGTTTGTACAAATAAATATAAAGCTAAAATCTAAAAGAATCCAGTATCTTACAACCTGCTGTGAGGTGCTGGATTGTTTCTAAAGCTTCTTTATACCTGGGATCTTGTCTGGTATGGTAGATCTAAGCCTCTATTTCTCTTCTGCTTAAGGCCTGCTCCTGTGCTAGCATGATCGGTGCTTCTGTGTTGTCTCTCAGTCCGGCCTTCTCTAGCCATTGGAAGGATTTGTTCATATCAGCTTCTTCAGGTATACATCCCATGCAGTTCCCTCTCTTCCATCTTTCATTGTCTGAGACATTCACAGAGTGCTTCATCCCTTGGAGCTTCCTGAAGTATTCTTGGAGCTTGGATGTTCCATCTTCAATGGTGGCTCTGATGCTCGTAAGGCCTCCTTCAGCCTCCTTCTGAGTGTATAGTACTGGATGGTGAGTAGCTTTAGTTTTTTTTTAAATCAATTGTGATTATTGATAAGCAGCAGCAGACAGCCCTCATAGTTGATGTGGCCATCCCAAATGATGGAAACATCAGAAAAAAAGAACATGAGTATTGGAAAAAAAAAATCAAGAACTCAGGGAAAAACTAGAAAGAGCCTGGACGGCTCTTTCCAAACCATTTCATTTTTTAAAGTGCACCTTATCAAGGCTGCACTTTAAAAAATGAAATAGTTTGTAGCAGAGGTCTTCAACCGGAGGTCCTCGACCCCTAGAGGGTCCACGGTACCATGCAGCATGGGGGTTGCGAAAGTTATGATTGATTATAATTTTTTTAATATTCCCTCCTGCAGTTTTTTCCACTAATTGAAATATCTTTAAATACACATTAAATTGAATTTAACACACTGTAGTAAACAGATAAATGGAGGCAGAAGATGTCTTTCAGTCATCAATACAAACATTCAGTGACACACAGGAGCTCTTTCAAGCTGGGCACCATCTCCATTTATTCCCAACACCTGTCCCATCAACTAGGAATCAGAATCAGAAATACTTTAATAAATATCCATCAGTTTGGGGGTCCTTTGCCTGGAAAACGTTGAAGAACCCTGCTCTAGAGAGCTGTTGGTAATGAAATTTCTTTTTGTGTATATATATATATATATATATATATATATATATATATATATATATATATGCTTTATTTTCTAAAGTTCCTTGACTGACAGATTTGTACTGGTGAGTCACAAAAATTCCCCCAAAATAAACATGCTCTGTGGCCATACTGTAAAAATGCTTTGAATAAGAATCCGTCAGTTTCCTTTAAGCATGTTGCTGCATGTATGAAAATTTGAGAGAATTATAATTTAAATGTATTTAGTTGAGTTTATTCAAATCCCCTTCCTGTCTCTCTATTTTTTCTTTGCAAACATATTTGAGGCTGAAAAATAATGAGGTAGAAAACTGAGAGGTATATGTGGAACTTTACTCCAAACCAGTATCAGTTCTGTTTTTTACTTTAATGATCTGAGCAGACACAGCAAAGAGTCTTAAAGTTGTTATCTATGAATGTATTTATTTTTTTCAATTAATGTCAATATAGGGGGGCTGGCTGTATAAACACGGTGTTTTGACATTTTCAAATATGTATACGAATTGTATGATAAAAGAGAATGTTGGGAAATTTTATTCGATCTTTATAGTTGTTGTTTTTTAACCCCGCCCTCGTATTCCGTTTCAATCGGAAATACGTCATGTCAGTTAAGTAAAATATGCCCCCCTTTAAATGTGAATTTCGTATAGAGTTGTTCTCTGTGGCAAACTTTGGCCACACCTAGATCCTGTGCCATTTCCACCCATTTTTTCTTTCTTTTTTTTTTTAAGGGAATAAAAGAAAAGCGCTTTTTTTTTTCTTCGCCTCCTCTGTGGTGCGCTTGTTTGCGTGTCGGCGTATCCCGGCGGTGTAACCGGAGAGAGGGGGCCTCACTGAGAGGGAATGCAGGACTGCAATGGAGCACAATGCAATACAGGTAACGCCGATATAATTTCTAAATATATGTCGTTTTTGTCCGTTTCTGAAGGCAGATTTTACCATCCATTGACGCGTGGATATTTTAATCGAATGCCAGAGCAAATTTAAGTCAATTTCCGCCTTTATTTAAGCCGATTTTAGCCGTGTCGTATTGATTGTTTTCCCATATCAGCTACCGAGAGTTGCTCTGACTGCAATTACAACTTTATTCAGCTAGCCTGAACTTTTTTTTTTTTTCACCCACCGCCGGAGGTTGCATATAAACGGTTGATATTTGTGAATTTTAGGCCCGAATAGACGGTTATATCTCCGGGGTTGTCCCTTGGAAGCTAGTCGTTAAATTTCAGTTTAATATCGCAGATATTTTCGCCATGTTAATGATTAATTTCTTTGTGTGTGAATGTCGTGTCGACATTAGTCTCCTGGCTACCAACCCCCACCCGCATTAGCTTGCAATAAAAATAAAAATTTCTACCCCCCTCCTTTTTTTTTTTTTTTTAAAAAATTTTTTGTTTTTTTTTTTTTAACCCTGCCTGAAAATATCAGGAAACTTTTTTTTTTTTTCAGCTCGGTCACATTTTTAGCTAACCGCCGCGTCGCCATTTTTATTTTTTATAAGAATTTATTCTCACCGACGCAATATTGCACATTGGTGATTTATATCTATCTATGTATATATATATATTTCAATATATAGATATATATATGTATAGCTATATATATCTATATATAGATGTATATAATTTTCGACATGGACTATTAGGTGGAGCAGCAGTTGTGTTGAAATAATAATAGGAAGCAGCATATTGATATTATTACCAGAAAATCCACTCCGACATTTTGTCTCCAGGAGTTTTTATGGATGAATGTTGATATTGTGTACATTTCTGTACTTGAAATAAGGTTGTCCTGCCTTAAAAAAAAACAGGAAATATGGAGAGGACACACATAGCAGTGGATATTTTAGGCAGTTACACCATAAAAACTAATAAATATCTGTATTTCAGGTTGATTTGTGTTTTTAAAATATTTAGATTTTGTTGATAGATATTGTTTTCCCCTTGTGTCAGGTTCTTTTCAATAACAGGATATAGCCAAGGTCAGTAGTGCTGACTGGGTTTTATTTGTTGGTTTATTTATTCACAGTGCAAAACAGGAGACATTTTTTTCTATTAATATTCATGTTTCATTCCCCCCTCCTTCCTCTTTCTGTCTTGTTCTGAAAACTGTTTAAAAAAAAAAACAAATCTGAGAAATATCACGAGAACTGACGCAGGCATGGTGCAGATTAAGGGTTTCCATCTTAAATTCCTGTGTGTGTGTGTTCACTGTTCAGATTATATTATGTGGCTTTTATTTTCCTGCCTGCCGCTAGGCTGGAGCAATGCTTCAGCTGGCCCTCCCCCAGTTCAAAAAAAAAAAAAAAAAAAAGACTAGGGCTCTGTTATCCATAATGCCACACTGCATAATAGTATGTTTATTACACAGCCTGCTTACTTTATGACAGCATTTATATTGCATTGTCACTGTAATTGTGTAAAATACATTCACACTCCAGGTTTAAGGAGTTAAACAGCATATAATGTGCTTTCTTTTAGCCTTTTTTCTTTGTTTCCCTTCTCTTAATTAGAGCTCAACCTTTAAAAAGTAAAAGAGCAACATGCCTGCCACTAATACGGGACAAGCACACGTTCTATAATACAGCTCATGCCTGAACGTGTTGTTCTTTTAAAGTATTAAGAAATTATTATAAAGGTTAAGTGCACAAAAAATAACTGGCAGCCATTTTATGTTTTTGTTGCAAAAATAGAAAAAATGTAAACTAATGCAAAATCTATACAGAAGGTATTTTTTTTGAAGGTCAGGAGAATCATTTTTTTCATTGTAATAAAACAAAAGCAAGTAGGCAATTAATTAATTAGTGTTGCCAAATTCTGTAATTTTGAGTAAATGTAAGCAAATGTTACCCAAAGGGTAATGGGATGAAAAATAAGAACATTAAGTAATTTGATGTAAATGGTATTTACGCAGTTTGTAATTCAGTTTCCGGAGGGGGAAAAAAAATTCCAAATTTTTTACATTTCCAATTCATATACTTTTTAAATCTTTTAAATAATAATGGCTTGGAAGGTCATTAATATAATCAAGTATGTGAGTGATCTGTTTTTTGTTGTTTTGATTAATATCAAAAGATATGCTTTTAGTAAATTAACATTTATAAATGAGCAAATGCTTGGAATTTTGAAAAAACAACAACAATAAATGTTTATTTTAATGTAATATTAATTGACAGAAACATGTAAAAAAAAATTATGAGGTTTATTCTTAAATGGAAAAAGTCATTATTTTGAGGGTTCTGTCCTAATTACTTTAATAGTAAGGAGGATTTGATTAGAAATATTTTCCACTGATTTATTAATCACATTTAATCCACTAATTTATTTATGTATTTATTTTTCTATAATCTTTTGTTGCTGTAAACACCAGAACTTCCCCATTGTGGGACAAAAAAGGGATTTTCTGTTCTATTCTATTTGTTTTAGCCCTACATAAAATAAGTTAAATCTACTTTTTTGCATAAAAGAATAAAACAGGGATGAACAAATACATTTAAATTAAATATGAATGTAAGTTAGTAATAACAAAATAATAGTAATTTTGTCACTGACTGACATGGTGAGTTTTTAGTTTGCTGTATTGCTGTGTTGAGCTTTATAAAATCTATATATTTTCCTCTTTTTAAGCAATTTTTAAACCTTTTAAATGAATTGAAATGGTTGAAAGAGTTGACACTTCAGTTTGGGTGATTTTGATGAACACTAGCAAAATTTATATTGGAAAAACAAATCATCTCCTTGCTAACAAAATACAATATTTAAAACAAACCTTTATTTTGAGTTATTTTTTAGTTCCAGATTATATACGTGTAAATGTCCTAAAACGATTAACTTGTAAATACTTCTGATTATCAAGACTGAACTTCTTTATTTTGTTTCAAAAAAATAATAATTTTTTTATTTCCTTTTCCAGTAAAGTCAGGGAACTTTAACTTTGTTGAGAACTTTCCTTACTAAGTTTTGTTTTGTTACACTATGCTTTTTTTGTGGAATTTCATTTGAGCCTTTTGTTTTGTTTTAATACAACTTAAATATTCACGTCTCCCCCTGTTCATCCAGGGCCCAATATTTGGACTAAAAACACAGTTGCATATTGAAATTTGTAACACTGATTTAGAAATATGCGACCCAGAAATCATTTCTGGGTTATTTATATTCATGTTTAGATACTTTACTTCAACCATTAAAATGCTATTGCATATTAATCCACCTAAAAGACAAATCCAGATGCTTCTTTGTTTGTATATCAGAAATTATTATTATTTTTTTCAGGAATCGTTGTCCTATTTTTATCATGTAATCCTAAGTGATATATATCTCATGATCAACCCCAACAGTTCCTGGAAATTAGTACCATGAAGTGCATGAGATACTTCTATCAGTGGTCAAAGGTGTGATCTGGACAGTTTCCTCTTGTTTGAAAGCTTTTAAGTTAGAATGGATCAGATTCCTCTTTAGTGACTCAAGTTGTTTTTATTGTGTTTAAATGTTTAGTTTTAGTTTGATTATAGTAAGCTTAAGGACACACTGGCTTGATCATAAAGGTAGAGATCTGATATTGGTATCGATAATGGGTCCGATATCAGGAAAGAACGAATATCGGAATATTTTGGCCTGCATCCAAAATCTGTTTTATAAGCATCGTGATATAAACACTTTGCCTCTGTTAAAGTTTATGTAACCTATTTGTTTATAAATGGGTCAGTTTTTTCATACCAGTTTTAGCTGACTATTGTTCTTTATTTGAGTGATATAGTTTGATAGAGCTTTTTCTAACATTCCATTGTATGATTCGTGTTGATATTGTGTCGGGTCAGTTTCATTTTGGTCAATGCTCAAAGCTGCAATATCGCTATTGTATTAGAAATCAAGACATCTCAGGTTAAAGAGAAAAGCTGTATTTGTAATTAGGGCAATATTTTTTCTGTGCCTATTTGATTATTCATTTTTATTACTTTTTTGATTTAACTGTCTTTTTTTCTGTCTAATAAGTTTCTCATCAGTGTGGTTCAACTCGTTGGATTAAAAAAAAATCTTAATCAGGTTTGTGGATGATTAAAAGTGAGTTTGCCAGGTTAACACAGCAAGATTTTAAGATTGTTAGATATTTTTTCTCAATCCAAGAGACCCCATACATGGCGATTTAAGGATATAAATTAAAGATGGATGGATAGAACAAGTTTTGTCCTACAGGGTGTGGTGTACAACTACATACAATCATGTTAACCACATAGAAAGTCAACCACAAGAAAACAGATTTAATTCAAAACAAATTCAGAGAGAAACCATAAAGAAGTGTAGACAGAATTAACAGAGGCTGAACTGAAATATATATATATATATATATATATATATATATATATATATATATATTAGGGGTGGAACGGTTCACAAAATCCACGGTTGTTACCCCGAAATCCCATAAAAATTAACAAAATTAATGAAAAAATCCAAAAAAATTAATGAATTGTAATTATTTTTAATGATCCGCGGAAACCCTGAATCATTCCCGCATGTTTTGCTGCTTTTTTTTCTGCTACATCTGGCTACGCTGCTTCGCTTCTTCTTCTTGTTTACTACTGGTGGTTGGCTTTGGTCGCAGTACCGTCACCCTCTGCTCTGGAGTGTACACGCTTCACTTATTAGAAAAAGGAGCAGCGCATGAACTGAATGCAACACACGCGAACCGAGACTGTCGAACTAAACGGTTCGGGTGGTTTTCATAAACCGTTCCATCCCTAATAAATAAATAAATAAATATATATATATATATATATATATATATATATCACTTTCTGATTGGCTACAAGTCACATTCAACAGGCTGCACGCTCGTCTGTGCTCAGTAACACCACACACACTGGGATATCGAGCCAAGACA